CAACTTAACTATTTGCCTCTATTGAACTTGAGAAGTTACTTCACTGGGTCCAAGTTACCTCATCTCTACAATGGGGATGAAAAGAGATTCCTGCTTTATGTATTCTCCAGTCTAACAAGCATCATGAGATCCCTTGTGGACCAGTCCATTGTAAACCAAAGTACTTTTCAAATGTTAGTCGTCTTCCTGGGACATTTATTTTATGAAGTGAGTTACTGAGGTGTTGAAGCTGGGGTGTCATGAGAGGGGTGTCTGTGTGGTGCAGCATGGGCAGGAGATGGCTAAGAGCCGAATTTGGACAGCTTTTCTGCTCAAAAATCTCTCCTCCATTGGAAATGTCATTAACTCACAGTGGGGGAGGGAGATTTTGGAATAGAGTGTAGGTCACTGAGAGGAGAATTGTAAACTCAAGACTTAAAGGCCATGAGATCGGATGAAGGTGGATGGGAAAGGGATACCAATCTCTGGGATAAAGACAAAGTTTGTAATTTTCTGTGTGATTGTTCCATCTTTGTTTTCAAAGTCCCCTGATAAAATATGAACTATGCTTACTGTTGGGCCTGTTAAAATGTGAAAGTGGTGTTTTGTTCTAGAGAATGTAGAAGATTCTACCAGAGTCTCAGACATTTGGCTGTGCACCCATTTTAATTTTTTGAAAGAGTTATAGAATCACATGAAGTTTCAAAGATTGAACAGAAAAGTGCTGTGTACTCTTACCCAGCTTCCCCCAGTAGTTACATTTTATGTAACAGAAGTTAAATGCCAAAACCACCCAGTTCACAATGTTAAATTGTGTATATATTTCTTTTTCTTTTTATCACATGTGTACATTTCTGTAATGACCACCACAATCAGAATATAGAATTAACCCATTAACACAAATATCTGCCTCATGCAAGCCCTTTATAGTCACCTGCTCCCTTGCTATCCCTAACCTAAGAAGCATCATTTGTTCTCCATATCAATACTTTGGTCATTTCAAAAATGTTCTGTAAAAGTATGTAACCTTTTGAGACTGGCTCTTTTTTTTTTTTTTTCAGTCAGCACAATGCTGTTGAGACCTATTCATGCAACAGCATCATGTAGAAATTTCTCTCTCTCTCTCTCTCTCTCTCTCTCTCTCTCTCTCCCCCACCCTCTCTCTCTTTCTCTCATATTCCACACTATGGGTATATCACACCTTGTTGAACCGTCCACTTACTATAGCACATCTTGGTTGTTTTCAGTTGTTTTGGGCTATTTCTCATGACATTTCTATAAACAATCATGTACAGTTTTTTATGTGGACATAGTCTTCATTTTTATGAATAAATGCATAGAAGTACAAATACTGGGTCGTACGTATTTATAGGCTTAGCTTTTGAGGAAACTGCCAAACTGTATTCCAGAGTGTTTTTTCCATTGAACAGTCCCATCAGCAACATCCTTGTCAGCATCTGGTGTTGTCACTGCTTTGCACCATTTCTTAAGGGAAAAGAAAAAAACTACTCTGCCCAAAATGGTTAACGGAAGCAGGTTTTTGCAAAGTTATTTTGAAAAATTTACTCATCATGTAAATTCTGGGGATTTAGGCAGTGGAATCCATTTTTACTGTTGTGCTTTTGTTGCAAATATAGACATAAATGAAAACTAGAAAATGCTTAATAGAGAATTCTACCTAGTTGAATGTGGATTAATGGTGGCCAATTTTTGTTCCCTTTTGGGGAGCACAAGGACTAAATATGTGAAAATATTATAATTGAGATATAGTTTCATATCTCTCTGGTAGCTGTGTAGTCTATAGTACAATGGAAGTGGCACAGAACTTAAATTTAGAATGCTTTTTTTTCTGTACTTCACCATTTTGTAATTTAAGAAAACTTAAGAAAATCAACATTTCTGGTTCTTAATAGTTATGTGTAAAATGGGGATGCTCTCTTTATCACAAGATTGTTAGAGATGTAAATATGTGTATCTCTCTCTTACTTTAAAAAGATTAATGAGTGCTTACTATGTGACAGGCACTGCACTAGTCCCTTTGGATTTTTTAAAAAATATACTTTATTGATTTTTTTACAGAGAGGAAGGGAAAGGGATAGAGAGCTAGAAACATCAATGAGAGAGAAACATCAATGAGCTGCTTCCTGAAAACCTCCTCCTGGGGATGTGCCCACAACCAAGGTACATGCCCTTGACTGGAATTGAACCTGGGACCTTTCAGTCCTTAGGCCGACTCTCTATACACCGAGCCAAACCAGTTAGGGTGGCCTTTTGGATTTAATGGTGACTAAGTCAGGATCCCTGATTTCAGTGAAGTGATAACAGTTTAAATAAGAGGAATAAAATGACATAAAATTTATTTGAGCACATGACAGATATTTTATATAGGGTCCTATGACTTCAGGAACCTTGGAAGATTGATATAGGTCTTACCATTCAACAGCAGAGAGATTTAGGGTACTTGTTCAAAGTCAGAGTCATAGCCAGGATGTTAACCTAGATCTGTCTTCACAACCCAGTATGTTTTTTATCCTATGATGCATTTTTCTGTTAAAACGCCTTGTACACAATCAAATACTAAATGTAAATAATACTTATAAAAATCTGTCATTAATATCTATACTTATATTATCAGTATAATAACTTGGAAGCTTAAGAGTTTGCATTTTTCCAAGTAAGCTACTAGTGTTTATGTTTAAGGCCAGTTCAAGTTCAGCAGGGTTTCTGCTTCCTTCATTGTCAACATGATATACATAATGTTCATAATATAGACATGAAGGCACTGCAAGATCCTTATATTAGTTTTCTAGTGCTGTATAACAAATAACCACAAATACACCAGCTTAAAACAGCTCCCGTTTATTAACTCACAGATTTGTAGGTCACAGTTCTGGTCAGGGTGTGGCTGGGGTCTAAAAGAAAGGCGTTGTCCAGGCTGTATTCTCA